AGTGACCTTGATAACGTGGAACGCTGTCTAGTCTAAGACTTGGATGCAAGGTATGACCTCATCCTAGGAATGGCATGGTTGGAACACCATGAGCCATGAATTGATTGGAGGTCAAAGACCTTGGGCGCTACGCGCACGTCTCCTGGTGGAGCTTTGGCGAGTCATGAATTCACCTCTGCTAGGAGACAAAAGCGCTATTGGCGAGAGCAGTGGACCAAGACGGTCAACGTGCTTGACATTGGAATGATCGAGTAGGTAGACACCAATGGTGTATCGGAAAGGAGTTCCGAGCGTGGCTCACGGGCTGATCGTGGAGTGGCACGTAACCCACTGAGCGTTGCCCAAGTTTCGGAGCAGTCGCTGCACGTCATGCGTGACATGGTCTAATGGCCGAGGCATCGAGGGCGAGGCCCCCGTGATGCACGTGAAGTGGTACGAAAACCACTGAGCACTGCTCTCGTTGCGAAGTAGTCGCTGCATGCCATTGGTGGCTTGGTCGGACGAGTCCGAGGTTTCTCGGGCACGGCCCTTCGGATGCGCGTGGAGTGGCACGTCATCCACTGGACGAAGACTGCGGGGTTAGCAGCTCTTCGTCGGATGTTGTAAATGACATTGGATCTCCAAAGAAGCAGACAGTGAGGGTGACACCGGACGATGCGGAGTGCGTGTTCATCCTGGTCTCACCGAAACATAGAACCTCTGTACAAAGGCGACGGCGTCGCCGTATGCTGGCTGCAAGACACCGGACGTCGACCCTGATCCAGGGTGTGTCTTCCGTAGATGAAGGTGCACAGTTATACACTCTCGTCAACGGTATGACGGGGGAGAAAGATGGCGACGTCGGCCTCGAGGCTATGCCTGCGGTAGATACTCTTTTGAGCTGGACGATATGTCTCTTGAAGAGTTCGGCAGTGCCTTAAAGGCAGGCGGTTTGGCCGAAGCGGTCATACGAGGAGATAAACTCGTCATCGCTTCTGGATGAAGCTGTCTTGGAAGACACCAAAAGAGTGCTGAACGCACGGAGTGGATCGTCGATCCTACGGAATCCCTTGGATCCGTACT